GTGGATATATAGTTATGTGATTATGGATATATAGTACTCTGTGAATATATGAATGTATTACTCTGTGGACATACTGTTAATAATTCTGGATATATACTAATGTGTTTTTGGATGTATAGTTATGGGTTTATGGATATATATGCATGACACTTGGAATACACTCAGTTTAATGAGGTCCTTTATGCAGTTTAATTTGTGGATATATAGTTTTAAAATTGTGGATATATAGTTATGTGATTATGGATATATAGTACTCTGTGAATATATGAATGTATTACTCTGTGGACATACTGTTAATAATTCTGGATATATACTAATGTGTTTTTGGATGTATAGTTATGGGTTTATGGATATATATGCATGACACTTGGAATACACTCAGTTTAATGAGGTGCTTTATGCAGTTTAATTTGTGGATATATAATTTTAAAATTGTGGATATATAGTTATGTGATTATGGATGTGTAGTACTCTGTGAATATGTGTATGTATTACTCTGTGGACATACTGGTAATAATTCTGGATATATATTAATGTGTTTTTAGATGTATATTTATGGGTTTATGTACATATATGCATGAAACTTGGAATATACTCATTTTATTAATATCATTTTTTATTTCTGAATTTTGTGGATATATAGTTTTAAAGTTATGGATATATAGTTATGTGATTATGGACATATAGTTATGCATTACACTGTGACCATGCAATTAAGAATACATGGATAAATTGTTCTAAATTCATCTTTAACATAATCTTCTGTAATTTGTAGCTGTTCTACTTTGATCGAGTAGAATTCAAAGGAATGAAGATCAACAGAACATACCCTAGCATACTTGCTTGGACAACCACGCTTGTAAGAAAGAGAGTCAAGGCTGAAAAAAGGGCTGGTGGGTTTGGAAAAGGAAGGGTTATCCCTAGAGTTAAGAAGCCAAGGACTGATGCTACCACCTCACTGCAACAACCTGCAAGCACTGCTGCTGCTACAACCTCACTACCACAACCTGCATTTACTGCTGCTGCTACTACTTCTTCTACTCCTGCTACTGCAACACCGACACCAACTACAAGTGAGCCACTCTCAAGTGTTGATCGGGTGACCCGTGTGCTCCAAAAGCTAGCATCAGATGTCCTGGAGTTTGGTGAAGCTATGTCTGAAATTGGAAAGCAGGGCGCACCTATTGAAGTCATGAAGAAAGCGTTCTCAGGGATATCAAACATGCTAGGTGCTGCAAGCGCAATTGAATCAACTTCCATTCCAACTGAATCTCAGTTGGATGACATATTCTTTGGGAGTGAAACCTTCACCGCTGCAGTGGATTCATTGGTGGAAGCATTTCAGAAGACAACAAAAACCATGGAATTTGAAGCTCCATCATTTGATTTGGGAATACACTGCAATGAATCGCAACCGCAGCCATGTGAGCAACACACAGAGCAAGTAGTTGAAGAGGACCTACCATTGGATGCTTTGGTTCAACAAATTGGAGAGGATGCAGGACTGTCAACGACCTTGGGAGCACAAGTAACTCCTCCACTTGTTAGGGTCCCATTTCAGAGATATGTTCGTCATGCCGCTGCTACTGATGCTGATGTTGATGACTTTGATTGGTAAATTTACAGTTTGTTATTTGCATTTGGCTTTAACGTTATGAATTTATAGTGTTAAAATTATGAATATAAACTTATGAACATTTTTACAACTGTGGACATATAGCTTTAAAATTGTGGATATATAGATATAAAATTATGAACATTTTAAATCTGTGAATATATAGTTCTATGATTATGTACATATATGTTTAATATTATGGATATAAAGTTCTAATACTGTGGATATATAAACAACAGTGCCATGCAAGAAAGTGAGTCTGATGTTGAGGACGTGACTGTTAGGATGAGACCCCAGCGACGACTCAGGAACAAGCCTCTTTGTTTGAGGTCACCATACTGGACACAGAATGCAGGTTTTATACGAACTGCAACTCCACGGGAAAAAATCATTTCAAACTATGCATTCTTGAGTGTGTCTACCGAACACCCAGAAGAGTATGTTTGAACACATATATTTATAATAACCTTTAAATTACTTAGATAGTTCATATTATTATAACTATTGGTGTTATTATTATTATTGTTATTTTGGTGCTGTAGTGAGTTGCTGTTCAGCTATGGTGACTACTACCTAACAAGGCGTCACTTCTCAACTTTGAGCAATGGCGAGTTGGATATAGACTTCTTGAATATTTGGTCTTTGCGGCTAACTTTGAAGAACACAGAACGTGCTGTTGGGATACCAAAACGCGTATTCTTCACCACACTGCCACATGTAAGAGTTATTTTTGACATGCAGATGCGCATTTTTAAAAATCTAGTACTCTAAGCCTTTTGAATACTCATTTTTTGCATTTCTGTGTATTCAAAAACAGCTCCAGCTTGATCCATCTGATGATTGGATGAAAAGTCTCCCAGCTGAGAAAAGGATGGAAAATTTCAATGATAGATTGAATTATGAAATATCAAGTTTTGGAAACCTGGAAATCAGTGATGCAGACCTTGTAAGATCTATTACACACACTTAATTTAATAATTTAAGATTTTATTATTGATATATATGCATGAAGCTTGGAATATACAAAGTTTAATAAGATCCTTTATAAAGTTCTGAATTTGTGGATATATAGTCTTAAAATTGTGGATATATAGTTATGTGATTATGGATATGTAGTACTCTGATAATATATGAATGTATTACTCTGTGGACAGACTGTTAAGAATTCTGGATATATGGTAATGTAGTTTTTGGATGTATAGTTATTAATTTGTGGATTTATATGCTTGAAGCTTGGAATATACTCGGCTTATTAGGATCTTTATAAATTTCTGAATTTTGTGGATATATAGTTTTAAGATTGTGGATATATAGTTTTATAATTATGTATAATAGTACTCTGTCAAATATGAATGTATACCCATGCAGTTAACAGTACCTGGGTATGTAGTTGTTTCAAATAATAACCTTTTGTTTTGGAATTAGATATTTTTCCCAGTGCATCGCCATGCACACTACTTTGTTGTGTGCATAAATGTCAAGGAATCCAAGGTTCAGGTGATAGACAACAAGGAATTGCCTGCTGGTGTTTCAGAGCTTGATAAATATGGGGACTGTCCATACAAACTGGTAGCTTATATTATATTAAAAAATCTCCTTATTGTCACCTATATATTGAATTTAAAACATTATGAACATTGAGCTAATTTTTTACCAGATTGAAGCATTCAAGGCGTACCTGGCAGCAGGACAATCCACCTTGACTCACAAACTGAACAGCATGCCAGTAGAGTTCCTTGCCATGCACTGGAAAAATGCAGAGAATGTCACCGACTGTGGCATATATGTAATGCGGCATATGGAGACTTACATGGGTGGAGCTTTCGAGAACTGGAATCCTGGGTTCAAGAAACATATGCGCACGAATGTAAGAGTAACATAAATATATTACATTCCAACTACATCAGAAAGTGATGAAAAAATTACAATGAACTAGTTATTTATTTTTCTTATTTTACAGGCTAGCTTCATTTTTGAGTTGAGGGCAAAGTATGCTGCTTGTATCATCACGTCAAAGCTGAACAGCGTCAAAGGCGAGGTCATGAAAGCTGCAAAGATTGAAGACAAGAAGAAGTAAAACTGGAAAGATCAATGAATGTTTTTGTGGATGAATATTTTAATATTTTCTGTTCTTTGGTCGTTTTGTAACAACTCTATCACAATTTTTGAAATTCGATCTATGAAATTCACTGAATATATAGTTCTCATATTATGGACATGTAGGTTTAAGATTGTGGATGTATGGATATAAAATTATGAACATCTTACATAAGTATAAACATACCGTTCAAATATTCATATATTCATATTTCAAGAATTATGGACATATAGGTTTAAGATTGTGGACATATTGATATAAAGTTATGAATATTCGTTCAACTGTGAACTTACATTTTACATAAGTGTAAACATCAAGTTCACCAGTTTACATATTGATATATAGCTTTAATATTGTGGATATAATGATATAACATTATGAACACTTTTACTAATTTGACACACAATTCCAATATTTTGTGGTCATATAGTTCTCAGAATTATGGACATATAGGTTTAAGATTGTGGACATATTGATATAAAGTTATGAATATTCGTTCAACTGTGAACTTACATTTTACATAAGTGTAAACATCAAGTTCACCAGTTTACATATTGATATATAGCTTTAATATTGTGGATATAATGATATAACATTATGAACACTTTTACTAATTTGACACACAATTCCAATATTTTGTGGTCATATAGTTCTCAGAATTATGGACATATAGGTTTAAGATTGTGGACATATTGATATAAAGTTATGAATATTCGTTCAACTGTGAACTTACATTTTACATAAGTGTAAACATCAAGTTCACCAGTTTACATATTGATATATAGCTTTAATATTGTGGATATAATGATATAACATTATGAACACTTTTACTAATTTGACACACAATTCCAATATTTTGTGGTCATATAGTTCTCAGAATTATGGACATATAGGTTTAAGATTGTGGACATATTGATATAAAGTTATGAATATTCGTTCAACTGTGAACTTACATTTTACATAAGTGTAAACATCAAGTTCACCAGTTTACATATTGATATATAGCTTTAATATTGTGGATATAATGATATAACATTATGAACACTTTTACTAATTTGACACACAATTCCAATATTTTGTGGTCATATAGTTCTCAGAATATGTATGTATAGCTCTAATATTATGGATATATAGCTTTAGTATTATGGATATGTAGCTTTAATATTATGGATATATAGCTTCAAACCTGCAAATCAACAAGTACTAAAATTTTGAATACACAGATCAACCAACTTGTAAATTGATATCCTCAAAACAGCTAGCTACCAACTGGTATTAACCCCACTCTCAATCTACAACTGCATTATCATCTACATCATTATTATACTGACAAAACTCCGAACTCCCAGAACTTGGATGTACAAGGTACCCATCCCCGGCAATCTCAGATAGACTTTCCAAAACCAACGACTGAACAGCACCCTTTGTACTCGAAGCAACTTTATTTGCAGCACTCCTCCTCCCCCTTGCAGCACTGTACTTCTTTTCAATAACACTACTCCTCCTTACGTTACGCTCACCTTTTGATCTCCGGTTTGAAGGATTTTGAATGACACCACTTGAAGATGAAACACCGCACTCTTCAATATGCACATAGCCAATCTCAGCTTCAACCTTTTTCTTTGCTTCCTCAACTGCTTCATCACAGAACTGCCTAGTTACACTGTTATCTTGACTAGATGAAATCAGTCTTTGAAACTTTCTGCAAATCTCCACAACCCAAATTGAAGGAGGGACACCAGCTCTACAAAACATTGAACCAGTATTCACATCCCTACCATCAGCAACCTTTTTAGTCCACCTTTTCATGATATATTTGTTAGGAATACTTGAAACACAGTGTATATGAAGAATGCGTAAACAATGGCAGCATAAAATTCCTAACTCCGAAATCAACTTGCAACTACACGAAATGTCTAAGGTTGACAACTTAAAACTGACTTCATGCCTTATAATATCTATATCTGGACGCCATACGTGATACTTGAACTGACAACCTTCATTCAACACCATTTCTTGATGACAGGCATTGCCTTTCATGAATTGTTCCTCAAACAAAAAATATATCTCAATCGTATATACCTCTCTAGCGTGTAACAGAAGTTTCATGTGCTCCATCATCATGTTGGGTACCCCTTGAGTACAACGAAAGTCTTCACCATTCTCTTTGCTCCTCCATTCAGAAGTTACACTAACAAACGATGAATAAAAATCACATAGACCTGCAGTCTTGGACAGCCTTCTTGAAATCGAATGGTTAGTAGTTTCACTCCTTTGCGATGATAAAATGCCCCCTGAAAAATAGTCCTTATTGAATGCTGGACACCACTTCTCCCTACAGTCATACAGCTTTTGTATCCAACTATTCTTGTGGCACTTGTAGTCAGTCACCAACCTGAAATGATAAGACATATGTTCAGAACTCTAATGCTATATATCCACAGTTCCAATATAATAAAACCACAAATTGAATGCATATAATACAAACAGAAAGCTCACTGCTTCACTACTACATGTTCAGACAACTAATACTATATATCCATAATTGTAATATTATATATCCACAATTCCAATACTATAAATCCATAAATTGCATGCATATAATTTAGAGACAAACAGGAAGCTCACTGCTTCACTAATACATGTTCAGACAACTAATACTATATGTCCATAATTCTAACACTGTATATTCACAATTCCAAAACTATAAATCCATAAATTAAATGCATGTAACTCAGGAACAATCAAGAAGTTCCATTCTATACTACAACATGTTCACATAATTCTAATACTATATATTCATAATTCTAATACTATATGACCATAATTCTAATACTAAACATCCATAATTCAATTACTGGAATCGAAAAAGGAAAAAAAAAAAGTAGTGGACATACCTTGTCCAATAAAATTCAAACTCAGCTTCAGTCTCTGTGTGTTTCAACACACAGTTAAACATATCTAAGAAATCCTTGTTATTCCTTAACGCCTTGATATGCTTCTTCGAATTCTCGCCAATATGCCATATGCAAAGACGGTGACGTGATGTTGGAAACACCTGACAAATAGCAGCAGCCATGGATGCACATTGATCTGTCATGATAGTCTGTGGACATTTCCCATTCATAGACCTTAAAAATGCTCTAAACAGCCACACAAATGATTCTATCCTCTCATTCATCAGAAAACCACATCCAAACATTACATTCATGCAATGGTGGTTCATCCCTACAAAAGGGCCACAAATCATATCATATTTATTAGTGCGATAAGTTGTATCGTGCACTAATAAATCCCCAAACAACTCATAGTCTTGTCTCATCCGACCATCCCTCCAAAAAAAACTGCATAGTCTTGAATCACAATCAACTTCAAAATCAAAGAAAAAATCAGACTCAGTTGACTGCCTCTTCCTAAATATTTCAATTAATGAGTTCGAATCGGTTCCATCCAAACGCTTTGATGTATCAGATATTATAATTATTAAACCAAGCAAGTAATTAATAATTAGTTAATTTGTTTGAAATAATGGGTGTGGGTCATGCATTGTATGTGAAGAGTGGCCTAAATTATAGCATTAGTACATGGAGCATTAGCTTCCTGATTAGTAGCTTTCATTTAGTATAAATATGTGGTTTGTATTCATTTGTTAATCATCCCTTCAAATAACATTATTCATTCCTCTCTCTTCTCTCTCAATATATAAATATAATATATTGATATATTATATTTAATATATATTATAGATATATTATATTATATTTAATATATATTATATTAAATATATTATATTTAATATATCTAACATTTGGTATCAGAGCCAGTCAACCTTTCAACCCCGAGGTATTTTTTATAGTGAATTATGGCCACAAATTTCAATATTGTATGGTCGGGTCCCAAATTGGACGGGAACCTCGATTACAATTATTGGCAAATTATGATGTCCACACATTTGCAAGCTCAAAATCTTTGGAGCTTTGTTGATCCCGGTCTACCCGAAGGAGCTGATGCAGGCGCTATACGGCGAGATAAATTGGCCTTGGGTCAGATTCACCAAGGTGTTCATTATTCCATTTTTGGGCAATTAGCTCGTGCTCAAACAGCAAAACAAGCTTGGGACATCTTAAAGGTGTCACACAAAGGAGTCGATCGGGCACAGAAGTCTAAGTTGCAGTCGTTGAGAAGGTTGTACGATAATTGTGAGATGACCTCTACAGAAACAGTAGATGCGTATTTCACTCGTCTTATTGATATGGTGAATAAGATGAGGCTATATGGAGATACGATTGAAGATGGTGCAGTGGTTGAAAAAGTTCTTCGAACTATGCCGATGAAGTATGACCATGTGGTGGCTTCAATAACAGAGTCACACAAAACCGAGCTCTTATCAATTGCAGAGCTGAAAGGTATGGTAGAAAGTCATATTGACAGGATTGCGTCAAAATCGGAACCACTAGCAGAAGAAGCTTTGAAGAGTCAAGTCACCCTTAATGTGACTGGCACTAATCAAAGAGGTGGAGGATCTGGTAGAGGTCGTGGAAGAGGAAGAGGAGGTTCTGGTGGAAGAGGTCGTGGTAACTTCAACCAAGGAGGAGGACGTGGTAACTCCAACCAAGGAAGAGGTGGAGGTAATACCAAACAAGGTAAATTTCCATTTCATTGCTACAATTGTGGCAAGTATGGGCACAAGATTGCAGATTGTTGGTATAATGAGGACAACAATCGTGGAAATCAAGCAAACATTGCTGAAAACACTGCTGAAAAGTCTGGTGAGAGTTCTGAAACTTTACTTTTAGCCAGCGATAGTTTTTCTGCAGATAAGAACATATGGTTCTTGGATACTGGGTGTAGTAACCATATGTGTGGGAAGAAAGAATTGTTTTCCGAACTAGATGAATCAGTCCGGTCTGAAGTAACGTTTGGCAATAAGTCAAAGGTGCCAATTTTGGGAAAAGGTAAAATCTCTATTCAGTTGAAGGATGGTACTCACAATTTTATATCCGATGTGTTCTATGTTCCTGAACTACACCAAAATTTGTTGAGTTTGGGTCAGTTGTCAGAAAAAGGATATAAGATACATATTGCTCAAGGGTGTTGTACCATTGAAGATGCTAAAGGAGTTTTGATTGCAAAGGTAAATATGTCCCAAAATCGACTATTTCCTTTGAAAATTAAGCATACTCTCCTTGATTGCTTTAATTCTGAAGTTTGTGATGATAATTGGTTATGGCATATGCGGTTTGGGCATTTTCATTTCTCTGGGTTAAACTATCTTGCGAGAAAGGAACTTGTTTCTGATTTACCTGTTGTGAATGTCCCTGATCGTATATGTGAGATTTGTGTGATTGGGAAGAAGCATAGAGATCCCTTTCCCGTGGGCAAGTCAAGGAGAGCCACAAAACAGTTGGAGATTGTTCACTCAGACCTGTGTTCGTTGGAGGTTCCCTCATATGGAGGTTGTAAGTACTTTATTACTTTCATTGATGATTTCAGTAGAAAAACATGGGTTTACTTTCTGAAGCAAAAGTCTGAAGCATGTGATGTTTTCAAACAATTTAAGGCTTTTGTTGAAAAGCAAAGTGGTTATGAGATTAAAATCTTGAGAACTGATAGAGGTACAGAATATATTGCCTGTGATAATTTTCTGAAAGAGAAGGGTATTCAACATCAGATGACAGCTAGATACACTCCACAACAAAATGGAGTGGCTGAGAGGAAGAATAGGTCTATCGTGGATATGGTAAGGTGCATGTTGAAATCCAAGAATTTGCCTAAGCCTTTTTGGGCAGAAGCTGTTGCTTGTGCTGTATATGTGTTGAATAGGTGTCCAACTAAAAGTGTCCGTGATAAGACACCCGAAGAAGCATGGAGTGGGAGAAAACCCTCTATCAAATATCTCAAGGTTTTTGGATGTTTGGCATATGCACATGTGCCAGATCCGTTGAGAAAGAAGTTGGACGATAAAGGTGAGAAGTGCATATTCATTGGTTATAGTGACGCTTCAAAGGCTTATAAACTTTACAATCCTGAAACTAAAAAGGTTGTTATAAGTCGTGATGTCACTTTTGATGAATATGGTGCCTGGGATTGGTTAGCTAAAGATGAAAGTTCAGTTGTTATTCCTTTTGTTGAAAATATTGTTGAAGAGCAACCGATTCCAGATAATGTCCAGTCTCCTTCACAGCCAGAGTCGTCAGTTCGACGATCACAACGCGAGCGCCACTTACCAGCTCGCTTGCAAGATTATGTTTTGGGTCATGATAATGACTTGTCGGATGAAGAGATTATTCAATTTGCTCTTTTTGCAGATTGTGATCCTTTATCTTTTGAGGAGGCTGCTACAGAAACTCATTGGCTTAAGGCGATGGATGAGGAGATACGTGCCATTGAGAAGAATGGTACCTGGGAGTTAACAGATGTACCTCTTGGGAAGAAGCCAATTGGAGTAAAGTGGGTTTACAGAACGAAATACAAGTCCGTATATCCAACTTGAAGACGGAGACGTTTCTTAAATTGAAGAAGGAGATATTGGGATGACCAATATATCCAACTTGGTTTAAAGGAGGCAATGTTATAATAATAATATTATTATAATTATTAAACCAAGCAAGTAATTAATAATTAGTTAATTTGTTTGAAATAATGGGTGTGGGTCATGCATTGTATGTGAAGAGTGACCTAAATTATAGCATTAGTACATGGAGCATTAGCTTCCTGATTAGTAGCTTTCATTTAGTATAAATATGTGGTTTGTATTCATTTGTTAATCATCCCTTCAAATAACATTATTCATTCCTCTCTCTTCTCTCTCAATATATAAATATAATATATTGATATATTATATTTAATATATATTATAGATATATTATATTATATTTAATATATATTATATTAAATATATTATATTTAATATATCTAACAAATTATAAGCATCTCGATTAGTGAAGCCAACTAATGGAGACCCCCTTGCTTGATGTTTCAAGAACCTAATACCATCTGCCATTGCAACACCACTCTTCTTCAAATCTTTTAAATATAACAGTTGATTATCACCCACATTTCTATGTGAACGCAGAAGATGACTCTTGTCTACAGCACATAACTCGTGATTGTGCACTTTTACATGTTTTGTAACCGTCCACAACCCATCCTCACCGACGTCAAACTGAACACATGCACCACACCCTGACCTTGTGTCAATTTTTGAATATGCCCTAACACCAGCATTTGCCTTAACCTTAAAACCAGCTTTAGAACACATAAACATCTTCATTTGGACTGTTTTGCTATATACCTTGCACCGTTGATTACCCTTCCTCACACTAAAACCAACTCTATATGCATAATTGTTATACAACTCATACGCTTCAACCCCGTTACTTACAACAACACCAACCAAATCTTCATCAACTGCAAATGCAATATATAACCTCAAGTATACTAAATAATACACGTTCCATTGAAAATATAATTCCTATGTAGAGGGGGTGCGGGGAATGCCGAATAAATCCAGCCATGCTCTACAAAAGGAATAACATTTTCCATGGAAAAAGAATGAACATATAACAATGCTGAACACTGTGAATTATGATCATATAAAACTACATATAGACCTGGATTAGAAGAAGAACCATCAATTTCTAACTCTATTGGATCTGAACTTGGTGAATCAACAACAACATCTTCACTGACTGCATAGTGTTAAAAGCCAGAACAGAGTATCAGTTTAGAAATTTGTGGATGTATAGTATTATAATTCTGGATGTATAGTGATAGAATTCTGGATATAAAGCTCACAGTTTCTGGACATAAAAGTTCAATAATTATGGATATACAATCCAGAACAGAGTATCCATTCACAAAATCCTTGATATATACTACTATAATTCTGGATATATAGCTCACAACTTCTGGTTTTATAGTTCAAAGATTATGGATATATATTTCGTTCATTCAGAAAACATAAACACATAAACACCAAGAGTTACGAATGATCTCAGACTAGAATCACATAAACATCACATACACAATAAACATCACACTAAATATAAACACCTACACAATATATCACACTGCAAAAATCGCAAACGACTACAAATCCATAAAAATCAAACTGCAAAATAACCTGGAACCGTATGCAATTCATCGCCTGCTTCATCTCTCTGATCTAATGCCTCGTCTCTCTGGTCTACTGCATCATCCATCATGAGATCCATACAATAAATCAGGAAAACGACTGCGATCGCTATTGCGATTGCGATTTTACGTATACTGCAATCAAAACGCCAAACTACCAAAAAATCGCAAAACTACCAAATATGATATGAATAACGCCGCTAACGGCCATCCAATTTTTTTTTTTTTGATTTTGTGCGCGCCGTGTCGTTTTTTTAGTAAAACGGCGCCGTTTTGCAACCGTATGCACCTTGCTAGGTGCATTCGGTTGCACGGCATAATTTGCGATTGGTACTCTTGATGGATCTTCATTATGTTGGGCCGCATCATCCTCCCCTTCTTGAAAATGATTCGACCTGGAATCTTGTAAGCATTGTCTTCGATCCATGATATCACTTGAAATGGGCCACTATAATACTTTCCTCTATCGAATGGAATTATTATTGGGCCTTGTGATGAGCCCACTATAGACCCTTATTGGATTCCATGTGTATTGGTTATTATTATACCATGTACTATGTGTATAGGGGAATAATCATGATATGCAGTTGGCCGGAGTTGTATCAAATCAGCAGCATGCAATACTGCGTGCCCCCAACAAGTGATTGGTAGACTGGACCGTTGCAGTAATGGTCTAGCTATTTGCTTAATTCTTTTGATAAGGGATTCAGCTAGACCACTCTAGGTGTTGACATATGGTACAGGATGTTCCACCTTAATCCCCATGGCCATAAAATAATCGTCATAAGCTGACAAGGTGAATTCACCAGTTTTATCCATTCTTACATTCTTAATAGGATAATCGGAAAATTGAGCATTCAATCTAATGATTTGACTTATGAATTTTGCGAATGCCATATTTCACGTGGACAGCAGGCACACATGTATCCATCGGGTGGAAGCATCAATAAGGACTATGGAATATCAGAATGGTCCGGATGAAGGAGGAATTGGTCCACAGATATGACCCTGTAACCTTTGCAGGAAGACAGGTGACACAAAACCAATCTTAGGACGTGAGGGCCTTATAATAAGTTTTCCCTTTGCATAGGGAACACATGTGAAATCATTTTGTAGAAAGAATGTTTGTCCTAAGAAGGTTGTGTCCAGTCGAGTTTGAAAGTATCCGGCTTATCATATTTTGCCCAGGTTGACCTAAGCGGTCATGCCATAAACCGAAAGAATGTGTATCTTTAAATTTCTCCGCAAGTGCAATGTAGGAAATTTGGGTCCTGATATAAGGATAATACAAACCTAAAGAAAAGGAAGGAAGTTCTTTGATTTATATTTTCTGGTTATTTACCGTTTTGTAAGGAATTCGTCATTGTTTTTTATTTAGTTTATATGTGAAACCCGTTGGACCGAATATCCTTGAAACCACGTAAGGTTCTTTTTATTGAGGATATAAGGGGGCAGTTTCGATTATTAACTTTGTTTCGTTAAGAAGAATAAGTGAAACTCTTCCAGAGCTCACAATAGGAATCTTCTGTCTGTCAAAACAGTGTGCGTGGTTGCACTATCTACCAAGCATAAAGCCGAAACGTCCCCCATATCTCTATAGAGAAACGAGTAATTAGGAAAATGAGGGATGAATATTCTATTCATATGAAGATTCATTTAAAAAGCATAGAATTTTTGTTCAAAATGCACATGCACTTTAAAGTATGAAATAAACTGTCGCGGCCAATCCACGATTATTACATAAAAACGATGATAGAAAGAAAAGAAAGATCATTCTTGATCTCCATAATCTTCAAGCTCATACTTCATGAGGGCATCATCATCAGCATTAACAAGTGCGTTTGCTTCTGGTAACGCAACATGGTGGGACTCATCTTTTGGCTCCATTTTGTCCCTCTTAATTATTTGCTGATATGCCTGAACCAAGTGCTTCGGGGTGCGACATGTACAAGACGAGTGTCCTGTGCACCCACATCTATAGCAGGCTTGCTACTACCCGGAATGATTGTTGGATGAGCTTGGTTGTTCTTGATTTTTCGGCTGTCTTTGATTGTTGCGGGAGTTATTATTCTTGTTGCTTCCATGTCTTCCTCCACGACTTGGACCCCTTCCACGACCACTTCCTCGTCCTCTACCTTGGTTCCCTCTAGTGTTGCTCGACTGGGCAACATGGTGTGCTTCAAGCACTGGTGCAGAGCCAACAGGGCGTGCATTATGGTTTCGCATTAACAACTAGTTATTCTTCTCAACTACTTGGAGGGCGGAAATCAGCTCAACATATTGGGTATAGTTTTTGGCCCTGTACTGCGGCTAGAGTACAAGGTTACTAGTATGAAATGTGGACAATGTCTTTTCGATCAAGTCTTTGCCAGAAACTTCTTGTTTACAGAGTTTGAGCTGTGACACAATTTTATATAATGCCGAATTATATTCAATGACAGACTTATAGTCTTGGAACCTCAAATTCAGTTAGTCATATTGTGCCTGGGGAAGGACAAGCGATATCTATTGATCAAAGCGGTCTTTGAGAGATTTCCATAAAATGTAGGGGTCCTTTTCGGTAAGATATTCATTCTTAAGATCATGATTAAGATGGTGGTGGAGGAAGATGAGTGTTTTGGCCTTCTGGGCCGCATTACTTGTGGAATCAGCAATAATAGTATCTTGTAGCTCAGTTGATGCGAGATAGATCTCAACATCAAGAGCCCAAGTTATTTTGTTATTCCAAAATTGGCCCACAAACAAGTTGAGAGAGAAGAAAAATAATATTCCCAATTGATTTGTGGATCAACTTAGTCAAGAAATAGACTCATGTAGAGAATATGTCAATCCTAATTAACAAACACATTAAACCAAAAAATGATAGACAATCCGTAGGTATACTCCCAAGAAAGTTGGTCAAGACGAAGCTTGGTTAAATACCAACTCCTTAAATAGAGTAGTGTCGCAAGGGGACTTGTAGCAACAAGGCGTTTAAGCCAGGACCATAAAACTAGTATTCCTCCCCAAGAAACTTCCCTAATTCATGCGTTCTCATATATAAAGTAAAATCGTTTGACAGATCTAAAGAGTGTAGATTCACCTACGGATAAGGCTTTGAATAGGGTAAACTATGAATATTTATGTACTTTATGTGCTTTAAAAAAATTATTCATTATCAATATTTATGTACTTTATGTGCTTTTTAAGATCTTTATAAGAACGCGAGTGGAGTAACAACAGAAGAGTAAGAATATGCGTAATCTAACCTTAAAAGGCACTAAATTCACCTAAAATGCTCTAAATCATACGTATTCCTAATGAACCTGCTTTTCTAAAGACATAATTATAACAGATAATGAACAGCCCCATAAAAGAGTTACTATATCATCCAATTGGACAAACGATGGACAACCGAATAATATTCATAGTTAAAAACATCCATAAAATTAATATTAAACCATGTACATGGAAGAACAATAATAAACACAAAGAAAAACCCATACGAAACAATATTATAATTTTAGGAAATTAAAACCCACGAGAAGGAAAAATTACACGAATAAAATACACAAATTACTTACAGCATACGATGCACTAATATTATATATACATAAGAATTAACATATATGGATTATTGAACACATATACACGAATTATGATCATAACACATGTACCCAAATCAATGTTGCAAAAATCGCGCCTAGGCGCTAGGCGGTCAGCCACCTAGGCGCTCTAGGCGCCCTAGGCGGTCTCCAGACGCCTAAAGGGCGCCTAGCGATTTTTGCAACCTTGACCCAAACATACAGATTTAAAATCCATTCTAATATATATTCTAACAATTAAGCATATATTCGTATCGTTATACCCTGCACCACGGCGCACACAGCACTGTGCGCCCCGTGCCTCCCGAAAAGACGTCGTTTTGGTAAGTTATGTAGGGAGTTGACGTAATTATGTGTATTTGTTTATACAATTATGTGTATTTTTCTATACAATTATGTGTATTTGTTTATACAATTATGTACATTTTTTATACAATAACGTACATCTTTTCTTATACAATTATGTAATCCGAATCATGAAATTTATGTGTATTATGTTAAGAGTTGATGTTTATTATGTTAAAAGTTTATTTATATTATGTATTATGTTAGATTATATGTATTATCTTTTTTTTTTTTTTTTAAAAAATATGTGTATTTTGTTATACAATTATGTACATTCATGTATACAATTATGTGTATTTTAGAATAAAATTATGTACATTTTTGAACATGAGATTTTTTTTTAAAGAAAATTAACCGCCAACACATGGTAGCGAAATTTCAAAAAATAAAATAAAAATTCTGAAACGACGTCATTTTGCATCAGGGCGCACAATGCAATGCGCACCCTGGTGCAGGATATAAATTGCCAATATATTCTGTTGGTCCCGATAGGGTGGTAAAAGTCTAGAGGGGGGGGGTGAATAGACTTTCTAAACTTTTTCTAAATTAAATAACTCTTTGGTAACTTCAACTCTAAGTAACAAGTAAGTAGAGAAGAGTTTAACTTGAACTGCACATCGGAATAAATATGTCTAAGATAAGCTCAGATGATGTGTAAGGATGACAGGAATATCTTGAATATTTAAAAGGAGATGGTTCACTGAATATTTAATAACAATATTCAAGATTATAAATAAGACTTCGTGTCACGTCAACCGTATGATGAATGTCACATGCAACACGTCAAACTTGCTTAGAATAATTCAAATGTTAAGCATGGAAAGTTTGAGTTACATGCATACGTGAAAACACACTAAACCCGAAAGATTAAGATAGACAATGAATAGTAAACGGGTTAGTCAGATGATAAAGCGAATTATGTAAGTGCGGTATGTAAATGAGAGAGGCAATTTATAGTGGTTCGGAAGTGGCGTAATCTTCCTAGTCCACTTTACTCCATTCACTTCTAGGAGTAATTCACTATTTTCTACACATAGTTATAATAGTGAATAAGCGCTACACAAGCACTTCTTCCGGATGTCTTGCACATAGCTACACCCAACTCCGAGTGTCTCGCACACAGCTACACTCAACTCCGA